CCGCAGCCCGGCCGCCGCCGCAGGGCCGGCGGGCAGCGAGCGGCAGCCGGCGGCATGAGGCGCGACCCGGCGCCCGGCTTCTCCATGCTGCTCTTCGGCGTCTCCCTCGCCTGCTACTCGCCCAGCCTCAAGTCGGTGCAGGACCAGGCGTACACGGCGGCGGTGGTGCTGGAGGGCAAGGTGCAGTCCGTGGGCCCCCCCGCCGGCGGCAATGACAGCCGCGGCGCCGGGCCCGCCGGGGGTGTCCTGGTCAAGGTGCTCGACCTGTGGCCCCTCAACAGCGGGGGGCTGCAGCGGGAGCAGCTCATCAGCGTGGGCTCCAAGGCGCCCTGCTTCAAAGTGAAGCGCAACCACCGCTACATCTTCTTCCTGGAGCCCACCGAGGAGCCGCTCGTCTTCCGCACCGCCTTCGCTCCGCTCGACACCAGCGGCAAGAACCTCAAGCGGGACGTGGCGCGGATCCTCTGCGCCGACTGCGGTACGGGCCGCGCCGCGGCGGCGGGGGGCGGCGGGGGGCGATATGCGATGCGATGCGATGCGATGCGATGCGATGCGATGCGATGCGATGCGATGCGATGCGATGCGATGCGATGCGATGCGATGCGATGCGATGCGATGCGATGCGATGCGATGCGATGCGATGCGATGCGATACCGCACGATGCGTTCCGCGCGGCCCGGCCGCCGCAGCCGCGCTCCCCCCATCCCCCGGCCCCGGGGCTCCTCGCCGGCGGTGCCGCGGGGAGCCCGCGGTCCCAGCGCGGTCCCAGCGCCCCGGTGCCTCTCCCCTCGGGGGCCTCGGCCGTGGCAGCCCTGCCGGGAGAGCTGCCGGCCTGTGGGGGCTCCGGTGACTCCGGCCGCGACCCCCGCCCCGGGCGCGTTCCCCCCGCGGAGGGGCCGGGCCCGGGATGCGGGGCTGGGACAGGGCAGCGCTCCAGGTGTGCCCTAAGAGCCGGGAAGTTTTGCGTCTTCCAAAATAACGGCCTCGCGGGGGGAAGTTGGCTTTTCTTTTGTTCATTCCGCGCATTTTGGTGTCTCCGATCACGGCTCTCGTGCAGTGGATTGTGCTGCTCTTCCAGCACCTCTGCAAACGCGGTTATGAAATGACTTCAACGGGAAGTGCCCGCCGGAGCGTCCCTGCTTTTGTTCCTGGATTTTCCTTGCTGTCCTCTGGCAGGTGAACACCTGCGGAGGGCTGGGCGGTGGGGACCGGGCGAGGACAATGCCTGCATTTTCCCAGGGTTTGGATCTGAGCTGACAAAAATGCACGGCTGGCCCTTCATCCAGCCTGAATGCTGGATACTGTGTCACAAAATCTGGAGAAGGATGGTGTTAACCCGGAGAGCTCTGAGCACTGTGCCCTCAGCAAGGGTTTGGATTCCCCGTGTTTATGAGGACATACAGGGTGTAGCTCCAGGGAACCCAGGCTCCCCACTCAATGTCAGTACACTGCATCCTCATCAGGTTAATTGGCCTTCTGCCTCATTAAAAACAAGGTACTTTGTCAAGTTATACTTAGCTCTGTAACGACCATATGTGTCCTGCTCTGTGGTGGTTGTTGTTGTGGTATTACCTGCGTGTTTCTGGGGCAAATACTCCGCCATTCGGGACTGCTGACCCCGCATTGTGAAAGCTAGACCTGTCTCTTTTTTTAGTCATCCAAAAGATAAATTTAGAAGCTTGCGTTTCCTGGGAGAAAGGTGGAACCTTGCATATCATAATATGTTGTTGAGGAAAATGGGCTAGGACTGTGTGCAAGAAAACTAATTTGGGAGACACTAATTTCATGTGCATCTGTATATGGGCCATCGTGGACAGAGAGGATTCAGTGAAAGAGCTGTGGTAGAGACAACAGGAAAGTACATGGGGGAATTTCTCAGGACTGTGGTCTCATTGTCAGGGGAAAACACAGCAAAAGGTATGTGGCTTTTATTGTTTATAATTTTTTTTTTTAATCAAAAGGGTTTCTGAACTTGTGCATCTCTGAGCAGCAGGGTTTGACTTGAAGGGGAATGGAGGCTGCTCCGTGGCATCCTGGCTCAGGCCCAAAGTGTTAATGTGTGGGCTGATGTAACAACAAGTTAAGGGTTGTCATTCTGTCGTGACACCTCCTTGGAGCTGATGCTTTTGTTTCTGTGTGGCTCTGACGGGCTCCCTGGCTGAGGGACACTGCAGATTGGTGGGAGCCTCATCTCAGCAGAGCTCGATGGCAGATTCCAAAAGAAAAATAAAATCTGGTGGTTGGGAAATGTCATAGCTGTGGTTTGGTTTGCTGAAGATGAAATGGGAGTCTCAGCTTGCTGAACTGGTGGTTCCCTGAGCACTTCATGCTCTTGGTCCAGCTGGGAGGTTATTTATGAAGGTGACTTTCCTGGCAGGATTTGTAGCACCTGAGCTGCTGGAAAGGTGTGTGAACTGGGAACGCACGGTTTGCCTTCCTGCTCTGTGGTTTGTGCTGGGAGGGGAGATGCAAAAGGATGCAGGGGTATTTCCCATTCTTGCTGCTCATGGGGGTGTTGAGAACTCCAGAGCTGGCAGGGGTGAATGTCCGGGCACGAGGAGAACTCTGAGGGACAGAGGGCTGCAGCTGTGTCAGGGATGTTACAGAGCTGAGAGACAGATGCTGGGGTCACTTCTGAGCAGGAAGGGAGGACCTGGTGGCCCTGATCACTCCAATTCCCCCACTTCCAAAGATGGAGGCCTCACAGGACCATCTTCTCCCTGCTCTGGCTCTGTGCCTGGGTCTGTTTTCCAGTGATTCATCCCCTTCTCACTGGCTAAGATGCTGTGTGTCTCCTGCTCTTGCTGCGTGCCGAGGTCCGGGATGTGATGCAGGACTAGACCTGTGATGGGAGCATCCATGTCTCTCTCCAAGGAGCAGTCTCTGCTGTTTGCACATCTCACTTAGAGGAGAGAAAGTGGGTGCTGAGGCTCTGTATGGGACCCAGACCCTCTCTGTGCAGAGCCAGGAGGACTGAGGTGAGAGGAGGATGGCCAGGGGTGTGGGGGACAGAATAGGAATTCCAGTCTGGTGCCTGCTGTGTGTGGGGTCTGAGCTGGGCTGCTTCTTGTGTGCCCTCTGGGCAGAGATCAGGGAGGGGGATCCTCGCTTTGGCCATCTCACTGCTGGGCAGGCTCTGAAGGCTGGAACATCCCCACCTGCAAACCCCAGAGGGGTGCAGTCCCTGCAGCTCTGCCCAGCCATGGTTTTCATCCCTCTGGCACACAGGGAGCAGCTGGTCCTGGGGCCTGGCATCCTGCAGGTCTCACCACCCACTTGTCCATCTTGAAACCTCTTTTGCACTGGGAGTATTATTGGTTTTTTTCATGCTGTTATATAACGATTCCTGTTATTGCTTCTCCTCCTGTCTCTTTTCTTTGTATCTTCTAGCTCCTTAATTTGGGATGGTCTCATATCTCCTTTGTGCCTACACGCACAGATCAAGGAGGAGGAAATAGGTGCAAGACACGGCGCTGGCTTTCACTGGTGAAGGAGCTGGTGGCATTATCCCCACTGGAACAGCTCCTGATCTGAATCCATAAGGGGCTTGTGGTCCTCATCCTCTGGGTCTTTAGGGGTAGCTTGTGTCAGCATCTCCTTCCCACCCCGCATGAGTCCTCTCTACCGTGTGAAATATTTATGTGCAGATATTTTGCACATAAATGAGAGTGGGGATTTAACCTGTCCAGGCTCTGATCTCTGCTTTCACAGAGGAACAAATGTCCTTCTGCCTCCATATGCAGCGATTTGCAAAGTAGCTTTAGTTAGAGCTTGTATGTCTCCTGAAGCACCTCACCGAAAACGCTGCTGAGCTCCAGGACGAGGTCTGCCACTCGCCTGTAGGATTAGCTAGCTTAGCCTGGGCAGGTAATCTGGTGGTGGCAGATCCCTGGGAGGATTTGCAGGCAGAGGACCTGTTGTTGTAGCTGGTACTTCTTGTGAGATGAGGTATTTATTTTATTTCCAGTCCGAAGGTGTCTCGGTCCCAGTGGCAATCAGGAAGGTGCTGGGGCTGTGGCATTGGCCTCAGTGGCCACCTGATACTGGGAGCTGTTTATCCTGGGGCCAGGTTGGTTAGAGCTGGCCTGTGAGGGGAGGAGAGAGGTCGGATTTTGAAGTGCCCGCTGGAAAATACAGCCCTTAGGATTACAGTGTAGGTGTTGCTGCCTGAAATAGCACTGGCAACTTTGGACCAGCAGCTCATGCAAAAATATCCCTCTTCACTATCCTGCAGATCATTGGAAGCCAGGCAGGCTCAGGGGAGGGCTGTGGGTGGGCTCCAGCCACTGGTGATGGTACTCTCCCTTCATCCCAGGACAGCTGTGGAGCACAGAGCAGTAAAGCTGGATTTTCTCACACACCACCTTGCTAATTAGAGCTGTCTGAAACTGTTTCTCACCACCTTCAGAAAAATCACACTTCTTTGGGTTTGCAGGAGAGCAAAAACTTCCTTCTTGCCTTGAGTTTCTGCAGATGGGGAATGGTCACTGTGCTGCAGACAGATTTGACCTCTCGCAAGGGTGGCACAACTCTGGGTGCTCTCTCAATCCTCTCATACAGGATTTGGTCTGGAGTGGACCTGGGGTGGCTGGCTCCTCGTGGTCAGGTCAGCTCCTTGTCTTCCAGACGAGCCATCCAGGAACTGGGAACTGGAACTGGAGAACTTTGCTCTGCTGAAGATGCAGGTCCAAGTGTCTTCAGTGGTGCCTGACACAGAAACAGAGTTTTTCCCCTCCCAGACATGTGCCATGTGTGGAGCAAAGCCTGGCTAGTTTCAGTCCCCCTTTCAGAAATGTTTGACTAAATAAAGCATCTCCCCAAGGATCTCCATGAGTAAGATGAGACTAAAACAGCTGCTGAGTGATCCCAGCAGTGCTGATTTCTGTGTCTAGGGCTGCTCCATGCCCAGCCCAGGCCCCAGCTGCTGTTGGTGGCTCTTT